GTACCTCATTTTAAAAGCTAAGAAACCCTAATCTGCAAGGTCTCTTCTAATTCTAAACTCTTTTGGATGACTTCATTTTATGAATGAGTAAAGGAAGGCTGAAAGTGTTAACATGGCTAATCAGTGGTATAGCTGGGACTAGACACTGAGCCTTATAAATTCTAGGACAGTGTTCATTCTAGTGCAGCATATATCTGTGATGGTTCCCATTTTACAAATGTGACAATTTATGCAAGGAGAGATATAGCAGGAAAACCTTGTTAGCTGGATCTAGACGTTCACTCCCTGTTGTGCTGCTTTCTGTCACTCCTGTTCTGATGAGCATGGTAGGAAAGAGGAGTGTTAAAACAGGCAGGCCTTCCACCATAGTCCCTTATTGGGGCAAATATTATTTTAACTATTCCACACTCCAAATCATGACCATGTACAACTACAGGAACTCAAAAAGATAAAATATCAAGGCAATATATAGCAGCTACATTCTAAGATCTCCAATCTATCAACCCTAAGTCATATACATACAGGCTTTCAAAATTAGGATCTGTTTCCAATTTCCTATTTGTCTATTAACGTGTTGATCTTTTCCATTAATTATCAATTATTTCCTTGTGTCTTTCCCAAATGCACATCTCTCATAAACTTTGAGGACAGTTCATAAAAATGAAAGAACATTTTTCCTCACTACTGTTTTCATAGTTATAACTTTTGAGAACAGTTTCTTAAGAGATGTTTTGGGAGTTGTACTCTGGAACATATTATCTTCATAGTCTTCCCCCTGGTAGGATGGATAAATGATTTTGCTTTGAGAGTTGAACTGAACTGTCTACTTTCAGTAGAAAAGATAAATATTCCACTTACAGAAGTTTCAGGAGTAGACTTTAAGCCAGGGGATGGTATGTCTGGGAGGGACCATAGAAAAAAGCCCAATTCTTACAGGGCACACTGAGGGATGAAAGTGAGTTACCAGTAACTTATGTCTACTGAAATCTCCTGACCATTTGAGAAGGAAGGGCAGCAGCAGAGTTAAAGCTTTTCTGAGAAAGGAAAGGAGTACTGAATGGGAACCTCACCCTTGTCAGGGTGTCAGTGAGAGCTGTGCCAGTGTAGCTGGTCCCTGCAACCAGAGGAGCAGATGCCTCCTCTGCACAAATGACTCTGTTTCAGAAATTGTACTCTTCACCTACAAAGTGCCTTGCAGTTGATTACACCACAGCTCCATATGGCAGCCAAGTGAAAAGTGATCACAGGGCAGCGTGGTACGTGCTTTGCACCTGATAGAATGAATACGAGTGCTATGGAGCACTAAGGAAGAAGATGGAAAAGGAAAGCATAGGATAAGAAGCACCTCTAGAGTTGGGATTTTGTCAGGTGCAGAAAGGGTATGAGTGT